TTCACTACCTCTTTCACTATTTACTATCAATGCATTTTCTTCTTTATTTCATGCTTTCTCAGATTCATCGTTTTGGCAGTATTGATTTGAAGCGCATGCAAGCTGAAATTCCAAGAGACGTTCTTCCGTCATCCTCCCGTTCACCCAATCATATTGCCCTCAGATTTTTCAATCTTCTACCAACAAATACTGTAAGAAGAAATTCTAGACACCAAGCTATTTTGTTGTTATGGCCTGAAGTAATGAACTTATGTCTCTATCATTCTATGATTAGAAGGGCATCTTTCAAGATTATTTCAAGCCCATATATATTATGTGTGCATATGTATAGTGTCAAGAAACAATCATGTTATTGTCGTCAGGTATTTTGGTAGGCTCCTATTACTTTTATGGATAGTAAAAAGCCTTATCAGTAACATGATAGTTTAGTAGATTACTCATATTCATGAATCTCTCATTTGCTTTTCAACTTGTATAAGAGAAAACAGTTGTTTAGTCTTGAATTTGAGAAGCAAATTCCATACGTCAATCATGATAGAAGTAGGATATACTAACATCAATAGATGATTCTTAAGAGGAGAACCATTCAGTCCAAGTACATACCATGAAACAGTTAGAATTCTTCAAACTTCTTATACAACCAAGGATTATATTCTTATTTTTAAGTTTTTTCTTTTCAGCTAATTTGTACTTTCTGAAAATGTTTCCTCAATAATAAACATAGGTTATGCATTCACACAATAACAAACAAATAACAACTATTCACTACCCTTAAATTGCTCAAGATTTCAGAGTCTACATTCATATCAATTCTTCTTCCTTCTGCTGCTCATTTGAAGCAACACTAACAGTAGAAAGCCATAAAGCTTGTAGAGGTGTTCTGTAACATAAAACAAACGTTCCTTATGTGCGCATTCCGTGTACATTTAGTGAGTCGGGGCGATGGCTTAATATAGTAGGGGTGTGTCAACTGCTGCCTTCCGTTGAATCATAGGTACCCCACAGTCCGCACCCCAAATTGAGTAAGTGAGCCTGTTGTAGGTGACCAGTTAGTTCATGGGGCACTTCAGCCAACTGGCCTGACTTATTAAGACCATTAGGCGAGTTTGAAATATTGTGTGTGTTTAGGTGCAACTCAACCTTTAATATTGTATAATAATGGCTACTACAACACATAAAAAAGAGGTGTCTGTCTTGCTCATATGTTGTTGATCTTTTGCTCATTTATTTGAATTGAAAAAAAAAATGAAGACTTAATGATTTACCTATTTAGTCTATGTTAGCCCGTCTTATGCTTTTGGTTGGCCAGTTGAGCTTTACATTTTTTCAACCTCTTCATTGAACATCTTGCAGTCTTTATTCTTTCTTTTTTTAAGAAAAAGTATAACAGCTTGATATCTTTGTTATTTTTAAACTATAAGTTCTCTTTGCAACGATACTTGTTTAATTTTCTCTCTTGTAGCCTTTCCTATGCACATAATTAACAACAGAGAGAGGATTATATTTGTCCTGGCTTTTGTTCTGTTCTTTGGAGGGGAATTTAGTTATGCATTGCCATGATGGCACCATTTATTTGGAGTATGCAGTATCATATATGAAATTCTTGTGCCTGAATGGACTATCAATGCACTGGGTCTTTTTTTCATAATTTAACCTTTGTTTTCAGCTCCTTAGATTTGGAGGAAACACAAATGGTTGCAGTTATATGGTTGTATTCCAGTATGGTTCAGTTGTCCTGTTCAATGTGGAGGATGATGAAGCTGAGTACTACTTGCAAATTGTGAGAAGATTTGCATCTGGGTTGCTACGTGAAATGAAAAAAGATGGTTTGTTTTTTATGTGAAACTTCATAGTTTCGTCTTATGTTCTTCTGCAATTGTTTATCTGAGAGAATTAGATATATGGGAAACCAAACATAATTAATATAGATATATAAGGGGTGCTCCCTTCCTATATACTTGTACATACATAGGAAAAAGTGGGGGGAAATAGAAAGTAAGTTTGAGTTGACTAATTAAGCATATGAAGATCTTAATTCATTCTATGTGTGTTAGACTACGATAACACGGTTGGTTTAGCAACTAACAATTTCGGTCAGCTAATTAAGGTCAATTATGTGATACTGGGAGCTTGCTTGGACTGAAGAGAATGAAAACCATATGATTCTTTGTGGCATTTCAAGCAGTGCCTAAAACAAAATGTTCTTTTTGATGACACCTAAAACAAAATGTTCTCTAAATAGCTTCTGGTTATTTTCTTCCACTTAATACAGATATACATGCCAAATGCTGCATCTTTACACTGCTTACTTGTAATCTTCTCTTTCGAACATTCTTTCTACCGGCTACAATATTTCTCTTATTATGAAGGCCTCTTCACTTTCTATCAGACTATGCTGTAAAAGAGAAGCCATTGCTAGTTGAGGATATGCAGGGAGGCGCAGATCACATAGTTCTGAAAAATTTGGACACAGATAGTATTCGTATAATAAGCAGTGTGCTTGGCCAAAGCATTGCCCTTGATTACTTTGTCTCACAGGTAGATATTCCAGAACTTGTTTATGGTTGAACCAACTAATGGTAACTGTTTGAGAATCATACAACTCTTACTGTCACCATCTGGAAAAGCTGAGAAGCATGTTTCGATAAAACAGACAGCACAAAATTTGTAATGATAAGTAGAAAGAGATTGGCTAGTAATTCTAACTTCAATGAAATTGGATGCTATCCTGCTTGTAGGTTGATGGTATGGTTGAAGAGTTTGCTGGGATAAATCGTGAAATGGAGAAAACAGGGACTTTCACAATGACAAGGAAGAAATTGTTCCAACTTGTGGGCAAGGCTAACTCAAATATAGCTGATGTAATTTTGAAAGTAGGTATCTTTGAAAGGTAATGCTTTAAAAGTGCCTTTGTGTGCTTTCTCTACTCCTGAAAGTGGCCAAGTACTGCTCGACATTTTTCATTCTTGCTGTTGGTCAATATGTTTTACTTTTTTCTTTTAGAAAGGATAAGTTCCTCTTTTGTCAGATTTTGGTTGGAGATAGAAGGATAAGAAATAGACCATCATGTCTCCATTAGTCTAAATGTGAGACATGTTATCGTTTACACAACATCTGCCTTGAAACCTGTATTTGTGGCAGTGAACTATCTGAACAGAGTCCTGATTCTTACATATGCTGAACAAATTCTCTTGAAGCTTATTTTTGGTTACAATTACTTACTTTCATTTGCATTGGGATTGTGTGTGTGGTAATCCATGTATACACAAGCTTGTAGCGACTCGACATCTCAACCTATAGGAAAATTCATGTTTAGGCTTTATTTGCAGTCTCCGATATGTTTTTGGGGCTCTCAAAGACTTCTGCAAGAAGAAGCCAAACTTGCCTTTTGGGGATTCTGGATTACTTGCAATCTTACAATTGCTATGAGGTTTCCCACCCAGCAAGCTTCCTAGCTTTTTAGGGGTTCTTTCTTCTGGTTTGACGTGCTTGTTTAAAAGACAAAATGTTACTTATAGAGTAACCAAATGCTCACAGTTTCAGAAATTTGTGTATTATAGGATGGTAGAGCTACCTGTTACTTTTAAGTTTTGAGTTGATGTAGAGTGGTTGTTGTCATTGATGATCTTTCTAAATTATTTCCTTGTTCTGCAACTCATTGTTAAGATCTGAAATTGCTTGGAGAGATGCAAAGTATGCTCAGATACTTGAGTACCTTCGGGAGGAATACGAGGTCTCACAACGTTTTGGGAACCTCAACTTCAAACTAAAGTTTGTCGAGGTATTGATCTCCTTTGTTTGACCTATTTTGCTTTATTAGATCCATGTTATTTGTAGATTCTCTTAAATGTTTGTTGCTTCCGAGACCAATTTTGTGTTAACATGACTTGTCTATAAATGTGACTGCTCAACCGAAGAACAAGTAATGAAAAAGGGAAGGAAATAGCTGACTTTAGTTGTTATGACATGCACGCGGCTGTGCACAAACACATATTTATGTTGATACATCAGATAGGTCTCAGTCAGTTCCTTTAAAAAAGAACAACAATATATCAAATCCACTTTGGGCAGGTTTATGACTTTGTTTGTAGATGATCTTTCCTCTTAACTCATTACTATTTCGTACAAGATATTCGTTTCAACTCTCATTCACCGACTGCTGTTGTGAATTTAATTATAGGCAAGCTCTATGTACTTCATAACAATATGTGCAATTGCACTTATACAATCTCTTTCAGTACTCTTTGATACTATTTCTGAACGAAATTTTCCTTGTTGCAGCATAACATTCACTTTCTTCAGGAAGTTCTTCAAAACAGAAAGTCGGATCTACTAGAATGGTGCATCATCGTTTTGTTGGTTGTTGAGAACGCGGTATGTATATATGAGATTATCCGGGAGTCAAGTGTAATCCCCGTGTAAACAAGAACACGACAGGGAAATAAAAGAGCGGCAATGATACATGATAGGATCAACATAGCAGGTGCCAAAAGAAAGAAACCACATTTCTGGGCATTCATATTGCAGTTTTGTTATTTATACATCCATAGAACACAATTGTGAATTAGTGATTTATTCTTTTTTGTTGCAAAATTCTATTTAGCCTCATTAGACAAGTTTTCTTTTTCTTTGACAACTGAGAATACTCTTGAATATCAATTCAATTGATAAAGCTGCCCCTTTATCTCAACACTTGATTATCATTTTTTTTTTTTTGAGAATTTAGGTTAAGCTTTGGCCTTTCCTGTTTGGTAAAGTAGAATAAAATGTCTTGCAAAAGAATTAGGAGTTGTTTGGTACATGGGATAAGGATAATAATCCTAGTATAGAGTTAAAGATTAACTTTATCCCATGTTTGGTTATGTGTATTAATAAGTCCTGAGATTATTTATCCCATCGTTTATACTAAAATGGTAGGATTATTGTTCCATACAGAAGGTGGGATTTCCTTTCCTATCTCATCCCGCATGCCAAACGACCCTTTAAAGTGTACACTGTTGATAAACCAAACACAATTTGTTAAGAGAATGGAGAACATCTCAAGATTGATTCACTCAACAACTCAATTAGACTCCCCTAACATGAATAATTTTCTTCAAATAGAAGCCATAATAAATAGCATCTCAAAAAATTCCAGGAAAAAAAAAGATGTCTAACCATCCAACTACTGTTACAATCTAGCTGAGTATGCTAAATTGCCAAACACCATTTTGCATGAATTTTGTAACATGTTTCCATATACTTCTTTCCTGAAGTGTTCATTGGAACGATTCTGCTACGATGAGAAGTGACCGACCAATAAAACCATCAAAACATAGCCTACTCGAAAATCTTTTTGATTGTTGAGGACTTGTACTTGTATGAATAATCGGACTCTCAAAACTCTTTTACTATAACTGCATCGCGAGGAATGTCATAAGCTTCTCTTGGCCTTGATTTCTTTACACCAGCAGTAAACGAAACCTTCTCTGACCTGTTGCCTTCAACACACACATTTGTGACTTTCACCCATACTAAGACTTTAGTCTTCATTCCTTCTATGCCAATAAGCTTGTCTCTTAGTAAAATGCATTTCACCCTCGTAGCATACCTAATCAGAGAGCCGTCCTTGAAGGTTATCTCACATGGGGAGGGAAGGTGAACGGTCAGCTTTTTGGACTCGTCTAATTCATAACTTGTTATGTTCTGGGGAAAAAGGCCTAGTGGGAGATTGTGTTCTCGAAGAAGATCTGTCAAACTCTTCATAGGCGTTCCTGATCAGGAAAAAAGATTTGTTTTCTCAGAATTCATTGTGCGGTTAACATGTGTTAAATGAGATCTACAATGTACTATGATCAAACAAAGAAATAATACTCAGAGAAAAGACTACAAGACTGTAAAATGAATATGCACCTTTTAGCTTGTTAAAGATCCATTTCGCCTTCTCTTCAACAGTATTTGAGATGCTCTGTGACAATAAATAACCAAGTGCAAATTGTTGGTGTTAAGACAGATTAAAGTTTTGTATTCAGTGTTTGGAAAATCAGATGATAGTACAATCTGCTTCAATGGTATAAATAGGACAGCTAATTGATTCTGGTTTTGGCATGTAAACACACAGATTTTTCTTTCAAATTCAATGTGTATTTCTACTGTTAGCTAAGATGCCAGATATGGAAGGACAAAGATCACCTACACAGGAAGTCTCATCACATTTCGTTTAAGCTGGTAGCCTAATGCAACAACAATAACATACCAAGTGTAATCCCACAAGTGAGGTCTACGGAGGATAGGATGTACGCAGTCGTTAGCCCTGTCTTAGAGGTAGAGAGGCTATTTCCAATAGCTGGTAGTCTAATCCAAGGCACATATATTTGAGACCTTAAAGAAATTGTTAGTCTTTCATGTTTCCTATTTAAGAATTTCCTCAATGGCCTAATAATGATAGTTAGAAAGAAGATAACTCATCAAAAGCTCCAACCTTATACATTAGAATCTCACAATTTAACAAGTAGACAACCAACACTAAAGAATCAAAGATATACAACAACCAATGCCTAACATAGAGAATCCTATATAGTCAAATTTTCAAATAACTTGCAAAAAATGTAAACTTCAAGCTACTTGTGATTTACATGGTATCAGAGTCGAGTCCATTCTTGTTTGTGCTCCCAATTGAGCCTTCAACCAAAAACTAACTCATGAGACGAGGATTAACCAAATTCAAATAAGCACATTACCAGTCCATTCCTCAACCAACTAAGATTCTAACCTACCCTTTATGCATCTTGGAGCAAGAATTAAATATCCAATTTGAAAAATGAGCATATGGGGTTTAGTGTATACAATTAAAAAATCCAAAAACTAAATTAACAATACCCCAAATGAAGAAATAACAAGCAAAATGAAATCTTGATGAGAAAAAAAGAGAAATTGAGGGAACATACATTGATATCTTGAGATATGTTGTTGAATTCTGCCTTAGCTTTCTTGGTTAGCCAAAAGCTTCCAACTTTAATGCTCCCAACTTTAGTTAAAGCTTTCTCCATTCTTCTTTCTTCTCCACACCCACAAAAAAAAAAACCTCTTCTTCCTCCTTCAACAAACAGAGGTGTATAGTATACTAAAAAAAGAGTGTGAATAAGACAAACAAAATGTGGTGTGCAGCTAGCTGTATTTGAAATTCCCCTTCACTTTACCCAATAAAGCACACAACTAGTAAAAATGAAATTTTACCCCTTGAAGTTTTTGAATCAAAAACTTTAACCCTCTTAGTTATTACTCTCTCCATTTCAAATTAAGTAGTGTTATGTATTGTCTGAGCACGCTCCTTAAGAAACTACTCATTCTTTTTTTTGAAAAATGTTTTTACTAATTTACCCCTAATCAAATTTTATCTCTTTTTGAGTCGAGGGTAATTGATGATTTTTAAAAAAAGATTAGAAAGTTTTAGTAGGAAAATTTTAGAAGTATTATTTTTGAATTGCATATTTAACTAAGTAGTTTAGTATGATATTCGTATATATTCTTTTTATAAGTACTTAATGTTATATCAAACTAATTGTCTTTTTGAAAAAAAAAAATATATATATATATATATAGGAAATATTAGAATACCAAAACAAAAGTATAGAAAATTTAAATTTGAATTGGTAATTCAATATTTATGAAAGTATATATGCACACACTTAATTAATTAAAGATTGGAGTGACTAAAGCCATAAAAAATGTTGATCAAATTATAAGATCTTTTCCTTTTTCATTTCTTTTTATTCTCCTTTTACCTTTTTATGGTTTGAAGTCAGCAAAATCTGAAAAAGAAAAAAAGAAACTCTAAAGAATATCATTTTAAGATGAAATTAAAATAAGAGAAAAAGGGATATGCTTTTTTTAATCAATTTTTTTTTAGTGAAAAGAGTAGCTGCATGTTAGAATATTATTCTACTTATTTTAAAAAGCACAAAGCACTAACAAGAGCATCTATGCTTCACCAAACTGGAAAAAATGTACAACTCAAAAGTATGAAAAAAAAAAGCAGTTTGGACATTAACCCCAGCTTGTTTGGATGGTTGTTACTTAATATACGAGTAAACACATAAATTTGTATAAAGTTGAATAAATAGAAATATACATGTCCTACTTGCATAATACAATATAGGACGTGAATTATCATGTAAGACGTGTGTGTCTATTTGTTCAAGTCTACACAAGTTTAAGCTAGCGTTCGGCCATAGAGTTCCAAATATTCTTGGCAAATATTATTTGGGTGAAAATTTTGGTGAAATTTTACCATGTGTTTGGCCATAGTATTTGGGAAATATATTTCACTTTTTCAGAAAAATATGATTTGTACCCATAAGTTTTAAAAACTATCAAAACTAACCATAAGTTTGTATTACAAGTCAATTGGATCTTCGTTGCAACAAATAACAAGTAGTGTCCATGACACTAGAGCAATGTGGTAGTTTGGAGTGAGTGCAACAAGCATCATTCCATAAATCGTGAAGTAGACAAAGCACATGACTTTGTTACCCTGAGCCGATTGTTCATCATTTTCATCAGCAACCATATCATCACTTTCATATTCACTGAATATTTCATCACTACTTTGGTGTTCACGTAAAAAATTATGTAATACAACGCAAACAACTACTATAGAGGGTGTTTTTGTAAAAGATAAAAGTTTGGTGTAAAATTTCAA